CGCCGGTGGTGGTGGGATACTGGGGTTTTGTGAATATGCAGGTGGGTCGGATGTGCTTACATAGCAGTGGATATGCGGGTGCCCAGAGGGGATACTCCATGTCCCCAATGTCAGCTGGCATTGCAAGCAGCTTAACAGGGCTTGCGCGTCTGAGACTTCGGCCCGCTGCACTAGTATTTCAGGTGTATCCCGCCTCTGCCTTGCCCTCCAACATTTAGCTGCCTTCGAAGACTACTCCTCCAGTTCTCACAGCAGTGGGCTGGGCTTGTTGACCTTGTGCTTGGTCTTCCTAGGTCTCCTGTTTAGGTTGCAGTTGGTTGTGGGAAGAGTTCAGGGGTTTTGGCATCGCTTTTTTACTTCTTGTATTAGAGCACCAGTAACTGTCACCGTAGAATATTAGAAAAGAAAACACACAACAACTACAACAGGAATTTAGCTCGCCCGAAATTTCACATTCACACTCGAGCCCATCATCAGGAACAGCAGCAAACGAGGGCAGCGAACTCACAAAGGTTGCACGGCTTGTGGAAATCAGCTGTTATGTAACTACATGCCCACCAAGTTTATTATTTTTCACATTCATAATAGAGTTGCGTGCTTATTACGGTGCTCGCCTGAGTACCGGCATCTGAACTGGTACTTGCCGTAATTAGGTCGGCCGTGTTCGTTATTGACGTGATAATGACTCGTCAACATGACTAAACGATGCTGTTATCGATAGCAATGTCCATTCGCACGCTCTTCGAATGACAAAGAGCCCTGACCAGGCGAGGTTCCAGCTCTAAATATAGGAAAGACAACTTCGCTTGCTGATCGACTAGAGCCAGAGAACCACGGCTCAAGCGTCCTAAAGCTCACGCGTTTTTCACCTCTCGCGGAAATATCAGCCTCGTCAGTCTTGGAGGCGTGGCCAGGTATCTTCTAATGAGCCGCAACTTGAGAGCTAACCCCACTCCTCCGCATTGCCACCGATACCTTTCCGAACATTCGCGTCTGAAGTAATCTCCTTCTTTGCTCCACGTAGTTGCTGTTCTCACAATTGCACCTCTGTCACGTACAGATGAAGTTGTGGGGAAGAAGGAGTTAGAAGGTGTCATATGCATGCGTCCAAAGGAATTTGGTCGTCTTGGCTGCAACTGCCGGCGCCTCGGCGACCTAATACTCCAACCAACGCAGTGGAATAAGTGCCTTCACGGGCTTTAAATTAAGTGGGTCGCAGGATACCATACCAGCTGCACACATACTAGCTAAAAGCTCAGACACGCGCGTTTCGTCGATATTCTGCCGCTACATGGCACAGCTGCGAGGGGTTCGGCTCATCAGCGGGTCTCCCAGCATTCTCCGTGTGCTTTCTGGAATATAATTATGAACTGCACTATCTACCAGAAATCACCCGGGGAATGCTGTGGGACCCGTTGATGAGCCGAATCTCTCATAGCTGTGCCATGCAGCGACAGAATATCGGCGAAACACGCATGTTTGTGTATTTAGCTGGTACATGTGCTGCTCGTATGATATCCTGCAACCCAGTATATACTACTAGCTGCCTGTCGGCAGTAAATGAATATTACGTGGTTATCCCACTGTGGCTGATGGACGTCGACCCAAGTATTCGCACATCCAATTTTGGTCTACTCCTATTGACCTTAGTTCAAACTGATTTACTCGAAGTTAACAGTTAACTTCTAAGGAAATTAAAGAGCAAAAGTTAAACTAGCTGAGATCAAACAATCTACCAATTTTCATCTTATCCACGACTAGTCGTGCAGAGCTTTACAGAATTATCCCCATGACTTGCCGTTTGGATGGGGGAAAGAAATTGACGACTGTGATGCATTTCTTCCACCGTGTAGGAGCCCATGGGTAAGGAGACGATCGCTCTTCCCCAGCTGGAGACGGAACTTCTGTCTTGAGAGGGCATTTTTGATGGCACAGGAGACTGGAGTGAATCGCCATTCTGCCCTTAAACGTCCGCACAATCTTCTTTCGGTCATTATTGTTCAGAGGGGCGGATCTTATTCAGATCCACAATGTCCGCCTGAGCTTTTGTGCTGTCTGCTCCGCTGGCCGTTTGATTGTCCAAAACTGACTGAGCATTCTGGACTGCCAGAGTGAGTGGGGCTACTCTGGCAAGGAGGATCGTTGTGGGAGGAGGGAAGAGGAATAAGGTTATCGTTTCATATAGGCTTTCGTCCGCGTTTCCACGAGTCGATTTCAGATGACGTGATTGTTAACCGTTTTTAGAGCACACTTTCTGACCCTTTCCCACATGAGTGGATAAGTATTGTACCCCTAAATAAGGCTAATGAGTCATCCTGGGCGACCGCTGAATTCACTGCGGTTATCGACTTAGATATCGTGAGCAACGGACAACAAATAGACGGTTGTTATGTCACCCTATTTGTATGACACTTTAAAGGGGAGAAGAATTGAGAGTAATGAGATTATTACTAGGTGAAAACAAGCACTCCGAATGCCTGGAACAAGAATTCTATTCACATAACGTTTCGAATTCACTCTTGAACCGATAATCAGAGACAGAGAAGCATGCAACAGTACAACAACTGCATTCTATAGATGTTTAAACCCTTAAGCAAATATTAACCATGCGTGATTCTGCCACTGAAGATGGATTCCAGTATGAACCTGAAACGTCAGACGAATAAAAATCTTGTCCCAGTTACCGCGCCGCCCTCTTCCTACCTGCTTCCTGAAACCTTGCGTTTTCACTTGTATCCACATCGAATTTGGCCTACTGATCAGGGTCGGTCATCGGGCTGTGGCCGCACTGAAAAGCACAGCTTATTAGGGCTGCAGATGAGAGCCAGGTGAGTAGTTGGAGCCATGTTGAGGTAACCGCTAGGTTCACCGTTGTGCATGGTGAAAACCGTCAGTTACTTATAGTGGAACGGTCAATACAATGTATTTACGAGCGTGAAGAGACCGTACATCCCAAATGTCAGCTCCTGTCCACAACAGCCCGGGCAATGGACATTACACCTTCCTAGGTTGTCTCTGGTAGAACAGGGGAGTCAGATGCGGAGGCGGATTCGGCCAGTAGCTTGCTACCGATTCCGACTACCGTGACGGGACGGCATTTTCGTTTCGTGGGGTTAGCCTGCTCAGCCGCAATGATAGCTGTGGCTGAAAGTTCACACATGGTGACAGGCCGTATGGAGCTTCATTTTGGGAAGAAATGCGACGGCGGTTAGGTTATTTTGCTGTCATTAAAAGTTGTGCAAATGGCAAATTTAAGTAACCGGCGTTTATATTTTCGTGTAGTAGCACACATGTTATTACTTGAATTAGTAGGTTGTTCGTCCATCTTTTGATCACTTTGAAATCCGAAGTTGTGCTGCCCTGTTAAGATAATACCTTGCCCTACCGTCCTATACTTTTACCAATATGTTGGACCATATTTCAAGAACCGTTTGAGTCACACTTTATTCCTCTTACTACGCTGTTAAGCTTGCTCAGGCATACTTGCGTTTGTCGTTAATGCATCAGGACTTTGTAACAAAGCTCATTAAAACAACTTTTGACTTACGGTTGTTACTCTGCGGTACCTCGTCCCTATCACGCACCAAATAAAATACTTCAATAACCAAAAACGGAGGCCGCCTCTTACCACAACTACACACACTTAGAAAACTGTAGTTGATGGTCTCCTGTTATCTGTCCTAAGGCATCAACACTCCGTCGGTATCTGATTGATCATGGGCGAGCATGCAGCCCATGATATGCGGTAGATGGACAATCAGTGTCGATTTACTTTCAAAAGCCTGCAAGTCGGAACAGGCATGTGAAAGTGCGCAAACACGTCTACTACTGTCCGCCACCCTCAACAGAAAGTGTTATTGAGAGGCTTCAGGCGAAGAAAAGTGAAAGTAGACTGGGCAGTGTGACACTGACTGCCCGGGTCTCCAGTAGACCCTAGTCTGAAATGACAAACTTTCCGAGTCAACGTGACTGAGGATTGCACGTACATCCAGTCCTCAGTAAATTTTATCAAACTGATCTGGTTGCACGGCGCCGTGCACTATTTTCGCTCACACTTAATTAATGAGGAAAGATTTTTGAAAATGGCGGGTGGGTGGAAATAAGGTTTGCAGTAGAAATTCTTTTAAAAAGTTATAACCATACCCTGGGAGAGCATAGCATGAGTACCAACGTCTCTACAAATGGATGGGTTTGCAAAAACTGCAAAAACACAGTGTTTTAAGGGGAGACCGTTATTTAACTGATACCTCATTAATGTCGGAAATGAGCTCTTGGTTCCTGAATCGTATGCCTCAATCCAAATGAGGTGAGTGTTGTGGCAAATAACTCTTGGGCATAAAATTAAAAACAGGCTGTAGTTTGCTTGTTTAGGTTGCTGTGTAAAGGCCAGTTGTGCTAATGGAAAATGAAAAATGCCCAGCTGCATGAATCCCATGTGCCCAACGATGGAGTTGTGGCTGTCGACAGTTTCAACTCAGTGTACCCGTTCGGGCTCCTGATCGACAGAAGCACCATAATTGTTACAACCTCACCGACTAACATTGGTACATCGAAATGTTACAGTCAGTGCAAAAAGTAAACCGAAAGGCACCCGAAGAGTACGTTCATAAGCCTCTAATGACAGGAAAAAGCGTGTTGCTAGTGTGCCAAAAACACGACCTGTAGAAAACTTTGGCACAACTTTTAAGAGCAATTCATCTTCACGCTGCATTCTGGCGGCTACTTTGTTTTTTTTTCTAATTCTAATCGCGATGGTCAGATTTATTTCTTACATTGGTGACCCTGTATCGTTCGTAGCGCCTTCTGCTTTATTTTTGTGCATAATTATTTCCATTTGGCTTCATCCCCTCCCTACTTCGCATCAATGAGATTATTTTAGCCAGACCATATTTACTAGTTACGCTGTCTCAGCTTTTCATCCAATACGAGTGCTGCCTTTCAATGTCAACGCACCAATTTTCTACCCCAATTATCCGACCTCTAGCTGACATCGGCTAATTATGTCCAACAATTCTACAAGCCAGTTGATAGCCGAGAATTACGCCTTTGACCTTCCATCCGCGTGGCTTGGTGACATCACGTTGTGGCTGCGCGTTGGGGAATCCTCTTTTGCCTTCCGCCAGATTACAAGAGAGGATACAAAATGTCACTATGCTGTGGCAGCACTCCCAATGGATATCGCCACGGACCTTCGTGACATTATAGATGGCCCGCACACAGAAGCCCCATATACTGCTCTAAATGAGGCTCTCGCCTCCCGCATTTCCCTATCAATACAAAAATGTCTGCAGCGCTTGATTTCTGAGGGACGCCTTGGTAAAAGGAAGCCTACGCAGTTCCTTAGGCGTTTGGAGCAGCCTTTCCCTAACAGTTGTCCTTTCTGTGCAAACATCCTTGCGTCTAACATTTCTTCTTCGACGGTCCAAATGATCGTAGAGACTGCTGACCGCATCCTCGAGTACTACAAGCCTCCTGGTACGGTAAATGTTATCAGTCGTATCACAGCTGAGCCAACTACGCCTACAATCGAGAATGTCATGAAACGCCTAGACGGCCTCACTCTTGATGTTCCCCAGCCACGGGTTTCATGCGTCACTCGCCGTCGAAGTCCGTCCATTTCCCACCGGCAGACGTCTCCCACAGCAGTGTCAGCCCCGTCCACGCCGGATGGTTTCTTCTGGCCCCCTTTTCCTATGGGTTAAAAGCTCATCACTGCCGACCCTCATGTTCTTACGAGGAATCTTTGGCGGGAAACTCACCTGCGACCGATAGTGACGACGAACTTGGTCGGTCCAACCTCCATAAATCGCCTACTCTCCATTTTCGACAGGAGTTCCTGTCGTAATTTCCTCGTAGACAGTGATGCTGACATCAGTTTGATTCCGCCCTCTCCGACTGACTGCAAGTCACCCAACTCTTCAATTTTTCTCCAGACAGAAAATAGTACCCACATTTAAGCATTTGGTCAACGATCCCAAACTTTAAACCCTGGGTTACGATTTTCTTTCCGTTGGATATTTCCTATTGCTGATGTTCATACCGCCATTCTCGGTGCCAATTCTATATCCTTTTTTCGGTCTCCTCGTTCATGTCAGGCCCCATAAACTTATCGACCCGATCAAATCCTTGTATTCTAGTTATTCAACTCGTACCCTCTCATCTCATAGCCTATGCATTTCAAAAATTCCTTCATCCGCCCCCTATCATCGTTTGCTTTCGAAATTTTCATCTATCACCCGGCCTCCACAGTTTGACTAGCTTATTAAACATTCTGTCATGTATTGTAAGTCGACTACGGGGCCACCCGTTTTTAACAGTCGCCGCCGTTTGGCGGCTGACAAGTTAGTTATCGCCAAGGCTAAATTCAGACAACATGATGGAAACTGGCATAGTTTGACCCTTCATTAGTCCATGGTCCGCTCCTCTGCATATTGTTTGCAAAAAGTCGCCAATAGACTGGCATCACTGTATTGATTACCGACGATTAAACAACTGCACTGTCTCTGAAAGATATCCGCTTCCCCACCTTAATGACTCTTCCTCTAGCCTAGCCGGTGCAACAATATTTCCCAGCATTGACTAAGTAAAGGCCTTCCACCAAATCCTGTTGCTCCAGAAGACGTCCCAAAAACGGCGATTACAACCACATTCGGTCTCTTCTAGTTCTTCAGGATGCCTTTTGGACTCCGTAACTCAGCTCAAGTTTTTCAATGTTTCATTACTGGGGTCCTCCGAGACTTACCTTTCGTTGTTGTTTATGTCGATGATTGTCCAGTTGCAAGTTCCAGTGAACATCAACACTTACATCATCTATACCTCATTTTTGGGCGGTCAAGCCAATTCGGTGTTTTCATCAACGCCTGCAAATGCGTTTTTGGTTTTCCCTCGCTTTTGTTCCTAGAACACCGCGTAGATGTTTTCGGTGGTCTTTTCATAGACGCTAAAGTTTCAGCGATTCGTGAATTATCTTTTCCCACTACTTTCCCACAACCGCGCCGTTTCATCCCCCACAGCGCACAATTAATTTTACCCTTCACAAATATTTTGCGAAGCAACAACCGCGGATTTTCTTCTCCTGACACAACCGTGGACGTTTTCCAACGTGTCAAAGAGACCCTTGCGGATGCAACTGCTCTTTCTCACCCTCTAACTGATGCTCCTCTGTCCATTGTTGCTGACGCCTCCAATTCCGCCATCGGTGCAGTCCTCCAGCAGCAGACCCCAGCGAGGTCCCAACCCCTATCCTTCTACCCTGCTAGACTGACACCCCCGAACTCGTTATAGCATTTTTGGTATAGAAGTCCTTGCAATTTATTTCGCAACTAAGACTTTTCGTAACTGTGTTGGAGGTAGAGGTTTTTGCATTTATTCTGACCATAAACCTCTTACTTATGCCGCCTCCACTCCCTTTGACAGGTATTCGACCCGTGAGGTCCGCCATCTTGGTTTTATCTCTGAATATATCACGGATATTCAATTGCTGACAGCCAATCTCGGCCTGGAATCAATGCCATTACCCGCCATTTCATCGACCGAGCTGCAGCAGCAGCCGGATTTTTCTGGGCATCTACAGCCTTCTAGCCTTCAGATTAAAGTCAACCTCGAATAAACAATCTGGGCGGCTATTGGAGACCCGCCTGTGTCCGAAATTTCCAAGAAACCTCAAGAAACATGTCCGACTACAGTATTAAGACCCACGCTACGGCCTCCGCGGGAACTGACGCACCCCACAACCCTGGCCCAGTGGTGTGGGCGAATAGTATACGAGCTGGACTACTCAATCGCAACGGCCTCTTGCTATTGGATGCTGGAATGTGCGGACGTTCCTGGATCACGGTACTCAAAGTCTGACCGAACGCACCCTTAATCAATACAACGCGCATGTCAGCTGTCTGTCTGAAGTCCGACTTTCTGACTCAGGCTCTCGAGAACTAAATACCCCTACAGCCGAATCACAGCGGTTCAAACGACTCTTCCGGTAGACACGATGTGACGATCGCCCTCTCGTAACAATCCGACCTCGCTTTCCTTCTTGAGAACCAGTTAATGACCGGATGGCCTACGTGCGACTAAAGGGTCGCTTCACGAACATCTCAATCGTATCTGTGTACGCATCAACTTCGGCTCCCCAACCGCGCGATAAAGAGGCGTTTTACTCGCAGTTGCAAGCGTTAGTTGAAAGACTCCCTCGCTGCGGTCTCCTGAGTGTTGTCGGGGATTGGAATGGTCGGACTGAACCTGGCGACTTCACAAACAGCCACTTTATTGGCCACTTTGGGCCTGGTACCCGGTGTGAAATTGGCGAGAGATTGCTGAATTTCGCTGATCAGAACCGACTGCTTGTCACCAACACATGTTTCCAGCATCGCAAAAAAACGTCTGCTGACCTAGTATACGGCCAGTCAGATTGATTACATACTAGTCAGCTCAAGGTTCCGCAGGTAGTTTTACGACAGCAGATCGATGCGCGGTGCCGAGACTGGTAATGCCCATGGGTCGGACGATGTCCTCGTTCGTACACGCTTGAAAGTTCATCTCTCATCCGCACCAAAAATGCCACGTCTTAGACGCCTCGATGTCGCGAAAATCGAGCAAACCAGCACTGCTGAGGCCCTGAGCAGATAAATCCGGTCCTCTTTTAAGACCTGAGCCGACGGAGAAGGCAGTAATCAGTGGTCGTCACTGAAGACGTCAGTCTATGGGTCAACTGAGAAAATTCTTGGATATACCCAGCAACGCCGCAGTGAGTGGACCCGTGGAAGAATCCTGCAGTTGTCTGCTCAAACGGCTTAAGCCAGGTCCCGTAATGATGATTCCTTCCGCCAACTTCGAAAGATGACGACAAAATTGGCCAGAGATGACCGGAAGCAATATTGGGTTGAAATAGCGACCTCCATGGAATAGTCCTCAAACGTTGGTGATACTCGAAAACTCTACCAATTTGTCTGACAAGTTAGTGGTAAGCCCCCTATTCTAAGTGACTCTGTTAGGGACGTGAATGGAGGCTTTATTGCTGACATCTCGGCCAAAGTCAAGCGCTCGCTTGTGCACTTCGAGCACCATCTTAACGTCCATACTCAACCAACCACGCCCTTGCTCTCCTCTGCAGAGGAGTTTCTTCCCGCTTCAACCTATGCAGTGCCCTGCGACCCCCCCCCCCCCATCTAAAGGAGAAGTCGTCGATGCCATACGAAAGCTACGCAGCAACACGGCACCGGAAGAGAACGGTATACTTACTGAAATCTAAAAGTCTTGTATAAACACTCTGGCGCCCTGGTTACATGAGGTGACTGGACGAGCGTGGAAAGACGACGTTGTTACTGATGACTGGGGCTTAGGTACCCTTTTGCCATTCCCCAACAAGGAGTATAAGACGAGATGCGAGAACTACCGCGGCATAAGCCTCATCGACGTTGCTGCGAAGATCTTCGCTATTGTCCTACTCAGGCGATTCCAGGCTGTGTGTGACTCTAGGACGAGGTCCAACCAAGCCGGATTTCGTGGTGGACGTGGATGCGCGGACCAAAGCTTGCTGGCGTGTTCTTTTGTGTTTGTCTGCGTAGATAGCATTCTTGAGCCATTACACCGATCATGAGACGGACCACTTCGAGTCCTGCTGTACACGCAAAAGCATTTCAACATCGCCCGTGGCAACCGCAATGAAGTGGTGTTGATCGATCGGTTGAAGGTGGCCTATACCGACCCTCTCTCGCCTACCCCAACAGACCAGGCTTCTTCACCTGCCACACTGCCTTCTTCGACTTACCCGCCTCCGCTTAACCTGATAACCCTGTGCATTCCCCTTCCCTCCATCCCCTACGCGGAGTGGTCGTCGTGTCCGTTTCCCTGGTCGTTGCCAACTTGGACATTATGCCTAACATTTGTCTCATTAATATTCATTTTTCACATTCGAACTCTGTTCTCTTGGGAGGGGCAGCATTGTTGTGGCATGAAAAGGCGTTTTTTATTGCTCCAAAAATGAGACCTATGAAAAACTTTTAAGAGCACTTTATCTTCACGCTTCATTCTGGCGGCTACTTTGTTCTTTCTAATCCTGCTCGCGATACACCGGTTTATTTCTTACACGCCTACGAACCCCGTAAGAAAAATTCCTCTGAACCATATGGAGAGAGAGACAGAGAGCGGACTGAACGGAGGACAATGGTTTCTATTATTTGCACATGATATTTTAGCTTTAACTCTAACCCTGACCCAGACTTTGACCCTAACCCAAGTCATAAACTTAACCTTAATTCCACCTTAACCCTAGGTTTAATCCTGTAGTGGCATAAAAAGCGCTTTAACTACTGTGCTAAAATACGCCTGTAAACTTTGACAGAACTTTAAGTCCCAATTCAACTCCATTCTCCTTCCTCGTTTTTTCCCAGTTGACTGGCGTACGCAAACTGTGGACAATGATCGTTTACATCCAAGGATAGACCAGTTTATGTTCTACAAACCTAACACTAACCTTAACCCTAGTCCTCGTCTCCCTGGAATTTAGTGCAAGACCACCTTACTACAAGGGGTTCCTATTTCCGTTTCCAGCCGATTTTTCACCTTACGAGAGGAGTTGCTCCCGTGACTGGGGAGAAATGTGCAATGGCTCATTTGGCGCTTTAATCAACCCAAATCTTAAAATCAGCCGCCAAAAGTTTGTTTGAGGCAGAATAGTTTGGTGGTGTAAAAGATTGTGAAACTA